AGAGGCAAGGAGTTTGTGAGAAGTGAAAAACAAACGGGCAGAGAAGAAGAGCAGGACAAGTCACATCAGGATGGCACAGAAATGAACGGCACAGGAAAACCAAAGAACCCGGTAGGAATCAGTCAGTGGCAACACAGAACAATAATGTAAACAGATTAAGAAGACAGGCCTGAAACATCCGTATTTATGAAATACATTAATTACTTAACTTCACTAGGTTGTTTCATTACATCAGAAAGATCCCAAATATCTTACCGATCAAAATACAGTTAAAAATGCATTTTTTTGTACTGTGATCACACAGAGTGCAACTGAAGGTGTATTTTTATATTTCAAGCAAGTATTTGTCAAGATAGATTTTGATACACTTTAGTCAACGAATAACTGCAAAACAAAACTAAGGACATGAGATTACAGTTCATGTAAGTATTTCGATCCAAACTTAGTATTTTTAGTTACAGCATTTTAGAAATAGCTTTTTAAGCATGCTTATATCTGAGAGAATGCCTAACTTAATAGTATTTTGTACAGGACAACTTGTGTAATGTATACTCTGTACAATGAACTCCTCATAGACTTCACCGAATGAGCCTGATCCTTCATAACAGAAACACTCATTTTGCTTTTAAACTTTAAGGAAAAATGTTCTATGCCCTGAACATCAGTCTGGATTGGTGTTTAGTTTCAAAAAAAAAAAAAAAAAAAACAGCCTTCTTAAGTTAACCAAATTTACACTGTATTTATCTACTGAATAAAATGGAGAAAATTGAATTACACGTGTGGATTAAAGGTTTAACTCCTGCCCTTGCAGATTTTTGGCTCCTTCCCAAGCTTGAAAAAAAAATGGAGACAATAACCAGCATCACTTCCTGCAGAGGAATGGGCTCCCGAGTGTAAATCTGTGCTAACTACCGCATACCAGGAAAAAAAAAATCCAAATCCCTAAGTCCCCCACATCCCAGAGAGACACAGGGTCTCTCGGGTCTAAACCATTCAAAAAGGAAGAAAAATACAGAGTTTGGTGAAGATCCCCCCGCGCGCAGAGGGGGGAGGCAGAGCTGCAGAATGAAGTGACTGACCCTCCCAACGTCCTGCGGTGGCTCCCAGGGGTCCCCACTCACCAGCGCCACCGCAGCGCTGCTGGAGGGACATCACGGGGTACTCTGCACATCTTGCACCACTCCAGCCAAATACAGCCAAGAAACGTAGCCAGCAGCCAGCTGACTTTGCCAGCAGCACATGAGGAAGTTCCACACAGTCCTTTCCAACAGGAAGGGCATGCAGACATCTTCACTTGCTGCCTGTGCCCTGCCAAGGCAGGACATAACTTGACTGATCTAGATGTGTGGACGCTGCAGCAACTGCACCCAGGCCACCTAAGTAACGGATTTATTTGAGCTTTCCTGTCATAGTTATCATGGTAGTATTTGAGCTCCGTGAGCTCTTCCTAGTGGATGCAAAGTTCTCCTTTGCTTCTCTGTATCCAATGCCCCTTTTAGGAATTGCTTATGGTAATGGAGCAGCTGGTAATGCTCCTTACTACCCTAACCCCATCCTAGAGACTTTTTTTCCTCATTGTACAGAATTTTGTTTTCATTATATTCAAGTGTGCATCACCAGTTAGCAGAGTCAGAGGAATTATTCTTGTCTATTAATTGTCTGTATTGTGTAAAATCCAAATGGTACCATAATGGGGAGTGTGGGAAGGACAGGGATGGACTGCCAAGGTACCTTCCACCACCACCTAGCCTGGCTGGCAATAAAACACACCACATATCTTCTCTTCATGAATCAAATTTTGAATCTATCTTTGTTTTTTGTTTTTACAGAAAGATCTAAATTACACAATTCTGGAAAAGAAAATACCATCTACTTCATAAATATATTAATTTCCTGGAAAAATCTTGACACTTTCTTAATGGCTTGAAACATCACGCAACCAGGGGTAACACTGCTTTGAAATCTGGATATTTGACAATAATTTCAAAGGGAAATTCCACTAAGAATAAAAAAAACTGTCAGGAAGAACATGAGGCACATATATCTAGGAGTTTTTAAAGCTTATTTTTTTAAAAAATTGCTTAAATTATTCAGAATTCCTACTCCTAGAAAGTGATAGACTTCAAGGAGATAAGAATATCCAAGTCATTGCAGCAATACCAATTTATTCTTCCAGAGAATTCAGAACCGAACACTTAACGCTAAACAAACACTCTGTCAATGCTATGGTACCAGAAAAGGCATAAGGTAACTCAAATTTGCATCATTCTGAAGAGATTAGAGATTTTTTGGACATAGGGAAGAGGAGGAGGAGGAGAAGAAAGGGAGGTTGTTTTCATTTCATACTTAAAACATTACCTCCTGATCACCTCCCTTGCTAATCAAAGGCATTCTGTACATTCCTTCATCTTAGAAAGTAATCACTAAAGAGAAGATATCTTGCTCCAAATTAAGAAGAGAATTAAAAACCTTTTTTAAAAAAGTTAAAATAATCAAGTGAAGTAATAAGTTGCGAATCAAAGTGTTCTCTTCCAAATAAAACATCTGCAAGGGGGAAGAAAGGGCTTTTAATAGAACTGCAGCTAGGTAACTAAATGCCCTCGCTTAGCCGGGAGTAGCAAGTATGTGCACGGAGACTGAGGTTTGTCCTTGCAGCATTTAATCCCACTCATATTGTGCAATTCTTCTCAGCACGGTCAGAGCAACCACAGCTCAACTCCCACTAGATGGAAAATTCCACTCCGGCTTAAGTGAAACCGTTCAAGAGCCTAATGAGAATTCTTCCTGCTAAAAGCAGTTTTGTTCAGAGGGCTGCCCAGTCGCCTGCAAGCACACCAAGAATTCTGTTTATCCTCCCAGATCAACAAGTGAATGCCACTTTATTGTGGGCAGAGCCCTGGAAAGAGTCTCACGATCAGTTATGTTTTATACTTAAAGCCTTCCTTTTCCTCTGGTGCATAAGCAGTACCTACCTTTCACAGAGGGCTGCTGCCTTAGAAACCTAAAAATCTCACAGCAAAATATGGCAATTAAATGTTGTAGCAGCATCGGGCTACTGTGTAATTATATACATACTATATAATACAATACACTGAGTGAAAGGAATATACGATTTAGTGTCTTGACGAACATGGCATTGGGCATCAGGCCTTCTCTTAGATCCTCTCCAAGTGATCATCTCACAATAATTTTCACTACCATCTTCTAAACAACAACTGAATGACTAGGAAAGAATTTTGCTTTAGTTCATCTGCTCCTGAGGAAGAGAAAAATCTCACAAGGAAGCAGTTAGGTTTATCTTTCCCAGGTTTAAGTCACCTGCAGGTACTGGTTAATGCAGTTAGAATGAACTGAAAATAAACACGATACCCACAAACAAGTGCGTAAGAGCTGCACACAGAAATACAGGCAGTAAAGTCATGCTGACCTCTATCATAAACATGTACATTCTCCCCTGCAAAATCTTTAGCATTGTTTCCTGGCAACCACAAAAAATACCAATGCTTTGCTAAGTAAGCCATCAGAAAATGCAGATCTCTGTGTTCAACATAATTTTCTATCAGCAAGACTTAAGAATTTTGTACCAAGCTTACAGCAGAATTCCCAGTCCTTACTGTCAAGTTCAGTAGAAAGAAAACCCAGAAAACACCATATTTGTCTTCATCACCACTCTTATTTTATTCCCACCACCACTACTCCTAGTAGAGTTAACAGGAGGTAAAGAGGAGCAGACCCAATGATGAAACTTTCAATGTTTTAAGATCTTGCTGACATATTTCATCAGTTTTTTTTCTACCTGCATCTTCCAAAAGCAGTTAACAACCACAAGACAAAGCACCAAATAAGTGTAAGCTCTGTTGATGAGTTATTTTGCTGGGGTATGTACCTTTCTAAAACTGGCAGATGCAGTAGCAGAGGAAAATATGTTATAAAATTCCAAAAGTTAACCAATAATTTTTTTTTTAATCTACTACAGGAACACACACACACACACACGTGTTAAGTAATGTAGGCAATGAGTTCAAAACAGTTCCCCAAAAAGGATTCAAGATTCAAGGACAGCAGCAAAACAAAGTATAATTTTAAGACAGTGCTCTTACATGCTGTTAGACACAATGTTAAATGAAATGCATATGCACTTTCTTTTAAGAGAGGGAAAAAAAAAAGAAAAAAAGGAACTCCAACACTATAGATTACTATTTATTCTTGAAAGTTCCAAACATTGCAAGAAAGAGGAGACACTATAACATCACATCTATTGTGAAAAACAAGCAACCGAGCAATTATTTTCTAATATAAATAGCAGCTTATACCTAAAACTGGAAGATCTTAGGATAGAAACAAGCTTATCTTGTTAGCTTATCTTGTTTCACTCTCAAATACACAAGGTTTATTACAGAAGTTTTCTGACCCCGCTTCACACCGAGAGCAGGACTTCCTGTCAAACAACTGATCACTGATCGTTTCTCCTCACCTATCACAGTTCTGTCCCTTTATCAAGCACCTCAGCCCCCACAGCTGTAGTGTGCACCACAGCAAAATGTCTGCAAAATGTCTACAAGTACCTTGGTGTTACCTCTACATAAATGAAGATTTCACTATATATAAAAGCTTAACACCATAGAAATATATTAGATATGGGAATCATTACATTTATGCGTTACCAGCAATCATTCTGCAGGACTGAAGAACCTTAAAAAAGTTTTAGCATTACAAGAAATACTTTGTGAAGCCAGCCAAGCCCATGAGTTCTCATTTACCCTCCGTCTGGTAGCAGCCAAGTTGTACAGCATTTTCTGATGAAGTTTAAAAACAAGTCATACAGCCATCTGCACACAGTGTAAATTCTTTCTAGTCCCTGAAAACAAGCACTAATAAGAAAAGGAAGCCAATGAACACCAATGTTTTTCCTTTAAGAAAAGGCACTTTAATGGGAGAAAAAGTAAAAACAGATTCCAAAAAGAACACGTCCTGTCAAAGTCCACCAAAAAACACCTTACCTTATAATAAATGGAACAAATGGTGCCATGCTCAGGGCTGAGTATGTGCCATCCATTGGAGACGGATACAGCTTTCCCAGAATTAAAAGCAAAAGGAACAAATTTGGATGCAGTTTCAACTCTTCAGTTTCCCTAAACAAATAAGTATTTGGTTAAAAAAAAAAGAAAGAAAAAAAGAAAGCCACCCTACACAACATCATCCTTCACACTGGCCCTGGGACACTTGCACACTCAGTACCCTTCTGCATTTACAGAAGGTGCTTAAGGTTGGCCGCTGGAAGAACGTGAAAACCTTGGTAGGATCCAACACATCACCCAGGACATTCTCCTACCCACCACTGCGGACCCCTATTCAAAGGGGCTTACAGCTGGGATGGCCTTGCTACTGATGCAACCAACATGCTGTGGCAGATAGATGCAAACAATGCCGACTGGCTAATATTTATATTGTAAAAATGATCAAAAATACAATCCAATTCAATCAATAATTACTGTTTTAGCTAAAGATTCGGAGGGGAGTGGAATACAAGTCTTAACTTGCATTGATAAAAAGCATTCAATCTTTCTCAGTTTAAAGATGTCCTTATATTTTCTGGTGATGACACTGTCCCCCTCACAAACGTCAGGCAGGGCAGACTGCCTGCAGCACATGCACGTCCTTAGCGTGGAGCAGAGACAGGGCAACACCTAACGGCTGCTGAAACTCTTGTCCCCCCCTACCCACTTCAGACCATCACAGATGGCTGAATCGCCTGTACATCAGCTGCTGAACTTCCACAGCTTAAACCACAGCATGGAAAACACACAGCGCCATAAAGGTTTACTTTAAAAGTTCCTGAACCTGGGGGTCATAGCATTAGCAGCCATCCAAACTGTATTATCCACATTGATCAAATTGGAACTCCCAGACACCATTTGTGGACGCCTTCAAAAGAGATCAAGGACATTCCCCCAAGATCAGTGCGTCATGAGCTAAAAAGTACTCATGTAGGGTTACATGAGGCCGTATAACCCTGTATCATTTAAACATTTTAGCAAGTCACACTCACCATTTAACATTAGACAAACAGCCAAACACCCATTTTTTTTTTAAAATCTTTCTCTGAAAAGATATCCTAGTTATTTAAAGTCTAATCCTAGGTACATAGCAACAGCCAGGAGAAACAAAAGCAGCTGCTAATCACTCAACATTAGTTCATACTCCAGAGACTTGCTGCAATGTTCAAAAGTTATAAGAAAAAAAGGCTTAGCAAAACATGCTCAAGAAGCACTGACAAGAAGAACAGCATTAGGGTACGTGTGACGCCTCTTTCCAGTTTAACCTTTACGGGGCACTTTATGGAGAAAATCTTGCTGAGATATTCCCTTACCTGTCCAGTGAATTGGCTACAACCTCCAACTGTTTGAGAAGGAAAGTGTAAAGACTTGGAAACCGAGAGAAGAACTCCCTTCCCGTCATTCTGAAAAAGGGAAGGAATAAGGGTTACAGTTAGCATTCTGCATTAAAACGCTATCCTCAAAATATCTTACTAGATTTTTGGTGATACAGTGAACTTGGAGAGCCAGGAGAACCGCGTACCCATGAGGAACTCCTTTCAGAGGAGGTAAAATTTATTGTTAGAAATGACGATACAGTCTAGTTTACACCTTTTACATAACTCTGTGTGTGAATACTGACTTCATCAACTAGACTGTCAGGCCTGTTTGGAGAAAAGAATGTTAAGGCAATTAACAAAAAGAAAAGACACAGAAGCTTAGTTTCCGGCACCATTTTAACAACATATTGGTCAAACAAGAGAAGCCTGCATTTGCATTAGCATGGCTAAAGTGTTAAATAGCTAATACCATATATTTAATATACAATACACTAAGTGGATGCTTATATTTAAATGGTCCTGAGAAGTATCACAGAATTCAAAGAAGATCTGTAAAATATAGCAGTAAAAAGTGTCTGGCCTTCCATTAGCCCTTTCACACCCTTTCCATCATATGTCGGCGGTGGCATTTCCAGGGCACATTTTTGCTTGTGTAGATGTAGCTTCCATCTAATAACCACATTCAAAACAGAACAGTGCAGTGATGCCTATCGAACTCAGCAGCAGCCCAGATTAGTGAAGCACCCCAGTTCAAGCCACAACAGCATATCAATCCAAGCTAAAGAGATAAGGAGATATTTTTTTCCTGTTTGTTTTACAACCTTCTGAACAGATAAGAGAGGACTGTTTATAGGAAACCATTACGCATCTTTTAAGCAAGGAGCCTTTTAAATGTTACAACAGGGTAGTTTTAATGAGACATAGGCGCTTTGCATAAATAGAGTTCCAAAAACAAAGACAAATGCATACGATCACACGATCAACAAAAATAAGTATATGTTAGCTTGACTCCACTGCAAAAGCTTCAAACCAGCAGACCTAGGTCTACAAAAATAACATGATGAGACAGTAAGACTGAATGTTTGTATAAAATATGTGTACCATAAGAAACAACAACAGAAAAACAAAAACATGCAAGACTAAATCAGCACATGGCAAACATCACCAAACCTTCATCCAGCACTCAGCTAACAAAACATGCCTTAGCCACAGGCCATAGAATAAACACAGCAAAAAAACAGATCACTGGATGGAAGCAAATGTTCAGACAAGGAGATTCAGGAAGCTTCTCAAGGCACGTAAGAACGGCATATTGAAATGCTGTAACTAAAAGCATGGCCAAGGATTCTGCAGTAAGTTCTAACAAAACAAAACAAAACCAGTTTAGGTAACAGCTTTTAAATTATGAATGAATTTGAAGTGAAGCATTAAAAAGAATGGTTTAAAATGTCAACATCTATTCACTAATTCACAGATTATCTAAAAAACATGTAATTTCTTATTACAGAACCCAAGTGTTGCCAGCAGGTCGAGGGAGGTGACCCTGTCCCTCCCCTCAGCTCTGGTGAGGCCGCACCTGGAGCACTGGGTGCAGTTCTGGGCTCCCCAGGACAAGAAGGACGTGGAGCTTCTAGAGAGGGTCCAGCGGAGACCCGCAAAGATGATAAAGGGACTGGAGCATCTACCGTATGAGGAAAGACTAAGTGAGCTGGGCCTGTTTAGCCTAGAGAAGATTGAGAGGGGATCTTATGTAAGAATACCCAAGGGGAGAATGTAAAGAAGATGGAGCCAAATTCTTCTGTGTGGTGGCCAGAGGCAGGACAAGGGGTAACGGATGCAAGTTGAAACACAGAAAGTTCCACCTCCATGTGCGGAAAAACTCCTTTACTGTGAGGGTGACAGAGCCCTGGAACCGGCTGCCCAGAGAGGTTGTGGAGTCTCCTTCTCTGGAGATCTTCCAAACCCGCCTGGATGCCACCCTGTACCACGTGCTCTAGGTGGCCCTGCTGGAGCAGGGGGTTGGACTAGATGATTCCTAGAGGGCCCTTCCAACCTCAACCATTCTGTGATTCTGTGAAACCAAATGCTTCCTAATGTCCCAGTCAGACTCCAAAGCTGCAACTTCTCAGCCAATCTAACTTCAAAATAACTTCAAATTTTCTGTACAAACGCTGTGCAGCAAGCTGAAAGTGTACAAGCCAGAGGCAAGGTAAAACACAAGCTTTGTGTAAACGCATCAAGTCAAACAGCACATGGCATACATCCTACTGAGGTTTTTGTACTTAAAACACTAAAATCCTGTATTTAAAAATCAGTCCTCAAAAGACACTGTGACACGACCAGGTCCTATGCCCAAGTCTATCAGGCAAAGGCGGAATAGATGTCAAATCTCCTGTGGAATGGACGGCTTCTGGTCAGAAGTTGAAGAGGGTGACATGCAAGTAGGTTAGGCTGTTATTAGTCTCATGCAATACATATTTTTGAACAGCCCCATTTTAAATATACTCTAAATTTGTCAGCCAAGTTGAAAAAAAAACAAATAAATGATGAAACTGCATATTCTTAGAAAGACAGCCTTTACTTCTTGTCATTTCCTACAAGTTTTTCATAGGGACAGTCTATGACTGAATTGGTTAACTTACCTAAACTTTTACTTGGTTTACTGCTCCACAGGTTACATGAGGGGAAAAGGTAGTCTAATTAAAGTGCTGCCTTAATCACCAGTCATCTGCAGAAGAGATGCCCAAAGGCTCTTTGAGAAAAACACAACTGCCTATGAGCAGATTGACTGCCAAGTGATAATTTTAAATGGCTTCCAATTCCCAGAAGAAATAAGAAAGGCCAAGTATTAGCAGAAACTCTGCAAAATGAAGGAGTTACTCTTAGGAAAAAAAAATGTTCAGGACAGCATGCAATATATTTTCTATTAATTTCATCAAAAATATACTGCTTTGAAAAAATCAAAGCCAACATTAAGATCAGGCTCATTCATATTAGTGATATAAAAAGATCCAAGCATAAAGGCATGTGCACACACAGATGTGCATTAGACTTTGTAATTAATAATGCAATTCATATCTTCAAAAGATAAGCATTTGATATCTCTAATTATGAAGGAACATACCAACTAAATGTTGACTAAAATAATCCAAAATCACTGTTAGCAGTTATCACGGAACAAACTTGTTCCTCCTTTCCTAAAGTAAATCTGACAACAAACGATAGATTTAAATTGAAGATACAGATAACTACTCATTCTTTCCATTAGTCACTGACATAGTTCAAACACAGATTTTTGGCAGTGCAACTACCATAATTAAATCCTTAAAACCAGCATTTGGTGGATCACGGGGTTTTATAGCAACCCACCCTAAAGCATGTTTATGAGAGACGTAACTGGGAAGAGCCTTAAGACAGTAATATTTTTCCCATGTCCAGATGAAAATATTTTATATTGCTTCAGAGCTCATTCTTTAACAGTATGTTCAGCCACATGTTCTGTAACAGTAGTTTCTTTTTTTCCTATTCACATCCCAAAGAAGGCCAGTTTCATAATCCAGAATTTCAAATGGGATTACTGAAATCTAAACAACTGATGGGTGGCACATTATTTACTGCAATCGGAAGTATTTTACTTAGACAGAAAATATACCAGTGGGTTGATGCTCCTTACAATAAATCCCCCTCCTCAGTGTAAGACATTTTTTAAAAATGTGTTTAAAGTCAAAAAGTTGAGAAGTAAACTAATAAAAACACTAATATCCTTCTAAATATCACTTGTAAAAATTATTTGCAAAACCATGTATATGTACAACACATTAGTAAAAAGTAGGAGGAAAGATGCAACATATTCCCCCCAGACACTTCACATTTTAACACTGTCAATATATGATCATAAGCAAACAAATCTGTGGAAATACCAGATGCCAACCTAGAATACACTCCGCATAAGCAAACAAATCTGTGGAAATACCTAGAATACACTGCAGCCATGCTAAGGCTCAATTGGGAAGGCTACACGGAGCAGTCGTGTTTAGCACTTTGCAGAAGAAAGGCTGATGAAGAGTGTTTCCACAGAACGGGAGACCTACCTGAGTCTCTTAACAGCTTCTGCTCAGGTCTCCCACCTGAGGAGAGATTCCACTAAAAAACAGTCTCCCAGGGGGATCTTGTCTGCCATAACCACACAATATCAAGCTCTACCTGCCGCTCCTAACCATCCTAGGAGCCCTTGAGCCCAACATATTCTTTCCCACCTTTATCTGTACCAGGGTTTATCTGAAAGGCAAAAACACATCATGATGATAGTAAGAAAGCCATTTTACAGAATACAAAGATCACGTAGATGGACAAGTTACTCTAAAGGCACGTGATGCCACAAAGAATAGAACGTGATTCCCATCGGCAAGGACTCGGAAGATAGAAGTGAATCATTGGTAAACTATCCAGACTTTACAACTACCTCTAGTAGTAAAATTTAAAACAAAGGCAGAGATTTTAAAACTGAAACCTGACTTTGAAGATTTAAGTTTTTCTAAAGGAAAAGTCTATTTTAAGCACAAGCAAGAGTAAAGCTTATAGTGTTAACACTCATATTAAAAAAAAAAAAAAAAAAAGGAAAAAGAACAGTTTCTTTTTCTTCAAAACAAGGTAAAACAGAAGCCTTTATTATACCTTTGATGACAGTCAACAGCTCTTCTATTCTTTCAGCACTGGTTCTTTGGCTTTCCCTTATAAGAGTGGAACTTGAGGTGTTTTACAGCAATTTATAAACACTGTACACCTCCAAGTTTTTATCTGTTATGGTTGTAAAGTAGCATCAAACTTTTATAACCAAATTCACAAAAGGTATTTCAGATTAAAGCATTCTGTTTACTTGTAGCTTTATTCTAACTTCCTAAAATATTATAGCCATGCTTAAGAGCCCAAATAGTTCCTAGGAGATCCTTTTTCATCCTACTTCTTTCACAAATGCTACTGAACAACTGCGACAACTCCAATTATTACACTTTTCATTTTTCTCCCTAATTAGCGATGCTAATGCAGCAATGCTGCGTACTTCACAGGTTAATATCTGTGTTGTT